GCGGGTGTCCTCCACGCTCCGGATGGCCACCACGTAGACCCCTGCCTTGGTCGCGGTGGTCAGGGCCCTAGGAACAGGAGGGGTGGAGGGAGGCTGGGCCGTGCATCCTGCTGCTCTGCCCGTGGGCATAGGATGCAACTGGGACCCCTGCAGCACCCAGCTCCGGTGGGGACCTGCCTGCCTCATCCCCTTCACGGTCTGTGAAGCTGGGAGACATGGCCAGTGGGTTTTGGCCTGGAGACACGGCCGGTGGGTTTTGGCCTGCACACTCGTGTCCCCCCACTGCACAGCCATGCACCCCCCTGCCCCAGCCCGGCACCTCTTACACTTTGATATTTTCGGAGTTACTCTGGACTTCATCCACCGTTGTCACGAACTGGAGGCGAACGCGGTAGCTCTGATCCACCGTGAAGATCTGCGTGCAGAGAGCAGGAGTGAGTGGGGCTGGGCAGGGCGTGGGGTATCCCCGAATGGGGCTGGGGTGGGGGTAACACTCACATTCAGCACAGTCTGTGCTGTGTGTGCTGGTGCCTCGCCATCCCGAGCCTCCACCATCACCTGGTACTGCCCCTTCAGTGAGCCATCGAGATTGCTGGCCACCCTGTGAGGACAGAGGCATCAACAATCCCACTGGGCTGCACAGGATGCCCCCAGGATGGCACCACTGTCCCCCAGGCTCCACGCTGCCACCATGCCCAGGGCAGGACCCCAGGGTGGCATTGTCCCCTTTCCAGCCTGTGCTGGCCCTGCCTGCACCTCTTCCTTGCAGCAGGCAGGAGCGGAGCCACATTTCCCCCACCCTGGCCCAGACCCGTGGCCTCACTGTACGCTCCCGACGTAGCTGTCCTGCTCGGGCGTTGTCACCACCTTGAAGAGGTTCTCAAAAGGCCGGCTGACCCCATTATCCTCCACGAGCACCACGCTGACAATGAAGAAGGTGATGGTTCCCCGTGGCCCTGAGTCAGCATCTGTGGCCTGCAGGGACAAAGCGTGGCAGGAGCACGGATGGGACCGGCCACTGCCTGCCCATGGCGGGGATGGGCAAGCCCCGCTCCACGGACTGACAGACACATGCACACTGCTCCTCACCTTCACGGTAGCCACTTGCAGGTCCACAGGAGAGATTTCGGGGACAATCACTGCCAGGGAAAGACAGACAGATGGTGCGGTCATGCTGGTGTGCAGCTAGGCTTGCTGCAGACCCCGTGCCCACAGAGCCCTGGGGCTCAGCAGAGCTCTGAGCATCCCCGCGCTGCCCTCAGCCCCACAGCCTTCATGGAAAGCATCGAGTAGCCCCAGCCTGGCCCCTGCACCTCTGGCAGCCCTGTGCTGGCTGGGGGAAGGTCCCCACTGCTGGGGAGTGTGGGACAGCACGCGTGGGTGCAGAGAGGAGCCCACAGGATGCCTGCTCACCAAAGGTCTCCAAGGTGGGCAGTAAAAGCGGCTTGTTGTCATTCACATCGGTGATGAAGATCCGCAAGGTTTCTGCAAATGTCCCAAAAGCAGAGCTCGGGTCAGCAATAGAGCAGCCCTACAGCACCCTCCTCTGCTTCCCATGGGAGCCCCATCCTCCCAGCAGGCCCAGGTCACCGTGGCAGGGACCAGAAGAGCTGGGGACACCCTCCCTCTGTCATCAAACATCCTGGCTCCTGCCTGCTCCCCACAGCTCCTTCTGGGATGTGGGAGAAGCAAGTCCCACCACCCACCATGCCCAGTGGTGGTGGAAGGAGCCGGGAGTGGATGCCGTACCATTCTGGCTGTAGCGGTTGCCCTTCTCGGTGTACAGGTCTTCAGCCCGCAGCGTCAGCACCACCCTGTCGCACAGCTCGTAGTCAATGTCCAAGCTGTTCACCACCACCGAGCCGTTGGGTGCCAACATGAACCAGTCCCAGCACACCTCCCCAGCACCGCTCGCCCCCTTGAAGCAGGCGACCGCCAGCTCCTCGAAGACCAGCGAGTGGTTGGTGTCTGAGTCGGAGGCAGCCAGCATGTGGACCAGACCCTGCTGCGTGCCGTTCTCACTCACATACACGTCCTGCAGCGAGGTTGGCACGATGGTGGGAGGCTCATCATTAAGGTCTAGGATGTGGACCACCACTGAGACGTTGGCCTTGTCCCCCACATTGTCTGCGGCCGTGTTCTCCGCCAGCACCACCAAGGAGAAGAACTTCTGCTGCAGGGTGTCATAGTCCAGGGACATGTCAGGGTCTACAGACAGCTGCCCGCCGTAGTGCCCTGGCCCCAGGCGGGACGAGCGGATCAAGAAGTTGCTGGAGCCATTGCCCCTCTGAATTAGGAAGGAAATGCGGGAATTGATCTCAGTCTGGTCAGCATCTGTGGCCTCCACCTCACCCACGAGGGACCCTGCAGGTGGAGACAGTCAGTCAGTGGCCAGTGGGCACTGACTCTGGGCCACTGCTGGTTCCATGAATCTGGCCATGCAACTTCTACCTGGAGAGTCTTCAAAGACTGAGAACTCGTAGGACTGGTTGAGGAACATGGGTGAGTTGTCATTCACGTCCTGCAGGAGACAAAGCCCATGGTTGTAGCCACTCCAGGAAACAAGGTCCCCCACAGCAGGTTGGGGACAGGAGTGTGGACACCTGCCTGCCCGCAGGCAGCAGGCACATAAGCCCTCTCCTCCCTCCCTGCATCAGCTACTCCTTCTGCCCCCACAGAGAGCCTGGGGACATGTTGGCTCTGCCACAGCCAAGTATCCCATGTCCCCTCCCTGCCCATCCATCCCAGCTCCAAGACCCGGCCTGCCCCAGCGTGTCCCAGCTTGTTCCCAGGGCTCACCCCCACAGTGATGGTGACGTTAACTGAGGTGTTGAGCTGTGGCACGCCGTGGTCATACACCTCCACTGTCACCACCATCTGCCCTCGCTCATCTTCCAAGGTCTCGCGGTCCAGCGGTTCATTGCTGTGCATCTCACCTGTGGTCACGTCGATGGTGAAGTTGTCACTGAACGGTCCTGGCAAGATCTTGAAGCCCAATTTGCTGTTGCGATTGCCAGGCTCATCGTTGTCAATGGCCTGAAAAGGTCAGGGGTTGGAAGGGGGCTGTCCAGCACCTTGGGGACAGTCCCTGCTCCTCTCTGACACCTCTCATCCCTTCCACCTCTGTCAGTGCGTACCTGGATCTGTGTTCTGACGTTCTGTCCCTCTTCCACCGAGATGAAGTAGGAGCCGGTGATGATGGGTGCCATGTCATTGTCATCCAGCACAGTGATCTCCAGCACTGTGGTGCCCGCCAGGTTGCCACTATCCTTGGCCTGGAGGTTGGCGTAGTAGATGGAGCGAGTCTCCCGGTCGAGCAAGCTCCCGTTCTGCACCAGCACTGCCCCGGTCGTGGTGTTCACCGTGAAGGTTTTATGGCTATGGCATACACGGAGCTGTCACCGGGGCTCAGGCCTGGAGCCCCCTCGCTGGGATGATGCCCCGATCAAGGCTGGCCATGCTCCTACGTACATGCTCTCCGGGAGCAGCTGGTAGGTGATCTGGCCCAGGACACCACTGTCCGGATCGTAGGCCTATAAGAGAGAAGGAAGCATCTGCTCAACCTACCTCAGCCCCCAGGGCAGTGCTGAGTCTGAGGCACCAGCTGCTGGCAGTGACCACCCCAAAAATGTGGCCCTGAAGGGCATTGGGTCCCACAACCTGTGTGCCTGCTGGCACCATCTCCTTCCTGTGTGCATGGAGAGACCAGTGCCCTCAACACAAGCTGCACTAGCGATGCCAGGCCTGCCCAGTGACCTGCTTGGGGGATGTAAGCTGTGCCTACTCCCTGCCCAGTGCCTGACCGTGATGTTTGAAGAGATGACGGTCCCAGCAGGGCTGTTCTCCATCACGCTCAGGTTGTAGGTGCTCTGGGGGAACTCAGGGTTATGGTCATTGCTGTCAATGAGGTCGATGGTCACAGTGGCCATGGAGCAGCAGTCCGTGGGGTTCCCTGTGTCATTAGCAATGATCTGCAGGATGGAGAAGGGACAGTGTCTCACATGGGTCCCCAAACATGAGAAAGAGACTTGTCACACTCCAGCCCGGCTCCCCTGCACCAAATAAGCGGCCAGGGCAGAGCCATGTTCTGCTTTGGCTTTTGAACCCTGCAGGAGAAGGGCTGTGTCCCCCAGTGCCCTGGCATATGCAGGGAGCAGGGACTGTCCCCACAGCGAGCCAGCCCTACGGGTCCCACCTGCACCACCATGACATGGCTTATCTCATAGTCCACAGAGGATGGGTCTTGCACCAGGAGCTGGACCTCCCCTGTGCCCACAATCTTTGAAGGGGAGACAGTGAAGGCGCTGGCATTCGGACCCTGCAGGTACAGCTCATAATTGCTGTTGATGCTCTGCCAGGGAGAGACACGCAGGAGTGAGGGTGGGTGGTGCAGCCAGGACAGACATCTGCACCCCGGCCCAGCCCCCTGGACAGGCTCCCACCTTGTCTGGGTCATGGGCGACGATGTTGAGGTTGGACACGGGCAGTCTGGAGGAGGAGTGCTCTATGATGCTGCCCCTGAAGTTGTTCTGGGCACTGGTGGAGAAGTTGCAGCTGGGGAGGGAGCAGTGGTAGAACTGGGGCTTGTTGTCATTCACATCGGTCACCATGACTGTCACTAGGGTGCTGGCCTGGGCCACCATGCCATGGATGTCCAGGTTCTTCTCACGTGCCTGGGTAGGAGGAGAGAGCAGGTCAGAGGGGCCCGGGGAGAGGAAGAAGATGGGGTTCCTTTTGCTTCCTCCTACTCACCACGACTTCCAGCAGCACTTCCTCACTTGGCAGCTGCTCACGGTCCAGGGGCCCAGTCACAGTGATGGTGCCTGTCGTGGCACTGATAGCAAAGGGGACATTGGCATCTAGGGCAAGGGGACAGCAGGAACCAGCTGCAGGCACCAGGAAACGCAGGCCTGGCCCTCTCTCTGCCAGCAGGGCAGGCTGGCAGTACCTGGGAGCCCAGAACCACTCCCTGTGGTGTCCCTTGCTACCTGATCACTCCCCCTGCCCATCCCAACCTGCCACTGCTCACCCCCTGCCCATCCCACCCTGCCCCATAACTCACTGGTGATGCTGTAGGAGATTTCATCATTCACCCCTGTGTCTCTGTCCATGGCGGTGACGGTCAACACAGTGGTACCCTGTGGGGACATGGCCATCATGACCTATGACGTCTCCAGCTTCCCCCACGCCTGGTGGCCCAGACACCTTGGGGCCTCAGAGCTCCCAGGGAGGGCCAGGGGTAGGGACACGCTTCTGGGACAGGCAGGCTCCTTACCAGGGCACAGTTCTCAGGCACAGAGCCGGAATAGGGCTCGTTGAGGAACCATGGGTCTAGGTTGGGCAGGTCGCGGATGGCCACGGACAGGTAGGTCGAGCTCTGCTGGAAGGTCAACATGTTGTGCAGCATCCCCCCGCTGTCCTGGGGAGCAGAGCACCCATTAGTCCCATGGATCCCTTACCTGGCAGGCCCACACCCCTGGCACAGCTGGCCCCCACCTTGGCGACGATCTTGAGCTGGTAAAAGGTGTTCTTGGCATAGTCCAGTGAGCCATTGAGCACCACATTCCCATTGGGCAGGATGTAGAAGAGCCAGCGATTCTTTGTGCTGTCTGGGATCACCTGAGTAGGGAACGTCACCTCGTGTCACCAAGGCAGGAAGCAGAGGTGCCACAGCAGAGATGGGGGCTCAACCCCCATCCTTCAGCCAGGCTTGGCCCACGGGCCATGGGGACCCCCTACCCCCTGGCTCATTCCCAGCCCGCAACTGTTCAGCACCTTGAACCCATTGCCCGGCGGGTGCAGAGCCAGCTCTCCTGACCTGACACATACCCCTGCTCCCCCAGAGCCATGGGGCTGCCCCGGCCGGGTCCCTTAGCACCTCTGCCCCAAGGGAGTGGCTCAGGGGTGGCTTTTGGCTCTGGCACGCCCCACTCTGCAATTCACTGTGCTCACCTCCTCGATGCTATATCTGACTTTGGAGGCGTTCCCAGTGTCGCTGTCATTGGCAAACACGGTGTAGATGATGCTGTTGAGTTCCATGTTCTGGGCACACAGGGTGGTGGTGGTGGCATTGCTCGGGCAAGCAGCAGGCATGGTGCTGTGCCCAGCCCCTGCCACCCCTGCTCTGGGGTGCTCTGGCCCCACAGGGCTCCAGGGGCTGCCCAGCGCCATGGGCCATGCAGGGATGAGCTGCTGCCCTTGCTCATGCCAGGCAGAGGCCGGATCCCCCCTGCTACCCTCCCCCAGGGTCCCTGGGAGCTGCTGGAGAGGGGTCGGTCTCAGCCCCACACCCCATCTGCATCCTGATCCGGCCTCAACCTGGCCTGGACTGAGTGGCAGCTCAGTCACTCCCTGCCCAGAAACTCATCGCAAGGGCAGAGGCCCAGCCATGCACCAGCACCTCCCTCTGGCACAGAGACATCTGA